GGGAAAGATCTGGATGCTGGAAGAGCACCCCTACCAGCAGACTTCCCAAAGATCTTCTAACCCATGTTTTGAAAGGGTCTAAACTTCTACCACAGAGAGTGAAAAATCTGTTTCAAGTAGAAAATGAATGTAATTTTGCCTGCTGAAGCTGACTAAGCTGTTTTCCAGACAGAAGTGTGCTAGGAGGCTGTCTTTCCATCCTCCTGTTGCTGCTGGTGGCCACTTGGATGCTGGCAGTAGGGATCTGTGTAATGCGGAGGCACGGTAAGGGCTGCCACTCTTAAGATACCCTAGTAAGGCAACTGCCTTCTGAACTTTTTGAGGAGATTCCTCTTAGAAGCAACCACATGTTGGTAGAGTTTGGGGTTAGGACACACTTAATGGCTACAGAGCCTGGTGTGATCATAACTCCATCTCTTCTGCCAGGTGAAAACAGCACTTGTAGATCTGGTAATGGCCGCCATGGTCACTTCTACTGTGAGGTGCTAAAATGGGCAAAGGCTGGTTAATAGTAAGTTGCATTTGCATAGTCTACACAATATCCTACTTAAAAAGTTTCCAAGACCTAAGAACATTCACTTGTATTCACACATTCTCTAAGGTCTTTGCCAACTCTACAACATTATTTGAATACAGAAATCAGGGTATTTATTTAGATACATCATTAGTGACAGACTCATTAAAGAGTCTGCTTCTCCCTTTCTGCATATGTAGAAAAGGATATACAACAGGACATGGTAGCATACACCTGTAATCTCAGCTCTTGGGAGGTAGAGGAAGGAAGATCAGGAGTTCAAGGACAGCCTCAGTTGACTAGAGAGTTCAAGGCCAGCTTGAGCTATAGGAGACCCTGCTCAAAAAAACAAAAGGAAATATTAGTGCAAGCTGTGAGAGGCATCAGATGTTGACAGAACAAGATTAACTCTGTGTTTTAAGAAAGCCACAGGAACTTTCACCTCAGGAATATTTGCATTTAGAGGATGGTGGTTGTATTATATTAGCTCCAGGGTTAGAGGATGCCGGTTGTATTATGTTAGTTCCAGGGTTGCAGAAGCTTCATACAGTCTTGTTAGGTAGCTCAGCGTGGGGCTTAATTTTATGGCAGTATAAAGGAACTGTGCCACCTGCAGGTAGAAAATGATACAAACCAGAGTTGACCCAACTTTTGATGTGCAGAGGTCACATCTGTGTTAAAATGTCAAAGTTACAACAGTTAGCTTCAAACACAGTGAGTGCCCTCAAGTCTAAACAGTTGCTAAGAGTTTATTTAAAAAGATAAATCTTGACTATCAGGACTGATATGTTGATAGGACTTAGAGAATACATCTTTTAAAACACTACTGAGGTTTAAGTGTGTGTTTCAAGTGTTCAGAAGGACTATGGAGTATTTTTCCTCTAGTGGTAATAAAGTCCTGGTCCTGGTTGATATTCTCTGGTGAGGGATCATTTGCTAGTGATGGTTTAGACTACAATGAAGGCTTGCTATTTGCTGTTCAAATAACAAATGTTTCCCCCTCCCACAGGAAGGATCAAGAAGACATCCTTGCCCACTACCACTGCGCTCCTGCCTCTCGTTAAGGTCCTGGTGGTTTATCCGTCTGAGATATGTTTCCATCACACAGTCTGTCACTTCACTGAATTTCTTCAAAACCACTGCAGAAGTGAGGTCATCCTTGAAAAGTGGCAGAAAAAGAAAATAGCTGAGATGGGCCCCGTGCAGTGGCTCACCAATCAGAAGCAAGCAGCAGATAAAGTGATCTTCCTTCTCTCTAGTGACAGCCACACTGCGTGTGACAGCAGTTGTGGCCAGAGTAAGGGCAGCCCCTCTCAAGACCTGTTCCCTCTTGCCTTTAACCTCTTTTGCAGTGATCTCAGCAGCCAGACTCATCTGCACAAATACCTGGTGGTCCATCTTGGCGAGGCTGACATCAAAGACGATTACAATGCGCTGTGCGTCTGCCCTCAGTACCACCTCATGAAGGACATCACTGCTTTCCACACAGAACTGCTCCATGTCACAAACACCATGTCAGTGAAAAAATGATCACAAGCCTGCCACAGCAGCTGTTCCCCCTTATAGACCACCCAGAAGGGAGAGACCTTGAAGTCCTCCTGCACTACCAATTCCAGTGACGAAAGCTTTGTGATGACCTTGAAGTCTACTGTACAGGCTGCTTATAGGGAGAGCTATGTATAAAACATGCTTTAGAACCGGAGTTGGAAGAATCATAACTGAGCACATATGCCTTAGGCTGGTGGCTAGATTTTACGCCAATAATATTGTTACAAACATTACTATTAGAACATCAATGAATGGAGCACAAACTTAAAAGGCTAAATTCCATTTATACCTGAAACCGAAGAATGACTATCACTGAAAACTCTAATCATTCTGGCCATGAGGGATAAGGCATTGTCCAGCCAAATGTCCAGTCCTGCATTACCCATGTTCTGCACTGCAGCTAGAACTTGGGAGCTCTGGAACATTCTATGCTGATTAAAGAATGAAACACTTGGGCGCTAATTCAGTAGCTTCCTAGGAGAAAAAGCCTATCCCACACAAAAACCTGTTTCTAAGGTAGCATGTGTAGACTAGCAAGCTGGACCAGATGACCCAGTATAGTGTAACCACACCTTCTGTCTGGTCATCTATGGCCTTCCTGCCAAACTAGATCCATGCCGGGACTCTAGAACAGATAACGTTTTTTTTTGGTAACTTTGAGACAGGGTCTCTCCCTGTAGCCCCAGCTGGCCTGGACTTGCTATAGAGACCAGGCTGGCTTGGATCTCACAGAGATCTGCCTGGCTCTGCCTCCCGAATGCTGGGATTAAAGGCAAGTGCCTCTACATCCAGCTGGACAGGTAACTTTTGCTTAGTATTTTAGAGGTGCTGGGAATCAGTCAGGGTATCGTGTATGCTAGGCAAATGCTCTGCCACTGAACTACATCCCAGATCCTCATGGGTGACTTTTTAATGAACATCAAAACGTATGACCTGCAAACCTAGTATCTACTTTTGCCCAAAGTTAGCAATTAGTCACTGGTAGAGTTCCCAGTGTTCTTGGTTATCACATAACTTTTCATGTTCAAAACTAAACTAATTCTGAAGTTGAAAGGTCGTTTGAGGTAATGTATCTTTTTATAATGGTTTACTTAAATAAAAAACAGAACCAGTAACAGAACACACGGAGATGGGGCATTTTGAGTCTTCCAACTCTTTATGTTCTTCAAGCATTTTTTTTTCTTAATGTCTAGAAGCCACAAAAATGTATTTATATTAGCCTACATATTTCTCTAGGAAGGCTTACTTCATAGAGTATAATAAATCTCCTTTGGAATGTGATTCAGTTTCTGGTAGATGACTGTTAAAATGTTTGTAATTGCCTGGGCATGGCAGTGCATGCCTTTAATCCCAGCATTTGGGAGGCGGAGGCAGATGGACTACAAAATGAGCTCCAGGCCAGCTGTGGTTACACAGTGAGACCATAAATCAAAAAAGAAAGTTTGGGGGGCTGGAGAGATGGCTCAGTGGTTAAGAGCACTGACTGCTCTTAGAGAGACAGTAGCTGGCCACGCAAGCATTTAATCTCAGCACTTGAGAGGCAGAGGCAGGTGAATCTCTGTATCTCTGTGAGATTGAGGCCAGCCTGGTCTACATAGTGAGTTCCAGGCTGGCTGTAACTCCAGATCCAGGGGAATCCAACACCCTCGTCTGACCTCCATAGGCACTGTACAACACAACACGGCTGCCCTTACACACATACAAGAAATACGCTCATGCACATAAAATAAGCCGGGCATGGTGGCACACGCCTTTAATCCCAGCACTTGGGAGGCAGAGACAGGCGGATCTTTGTGAGTTCGAGGCCAGCCTGGTCTACATAGTGAGTTCTAGGACAGCTAGGGCTACAAGGAGACCCTGTCTCAAGAAGACAAAAAAAATTTTAAATTTAAAAAAGTTTGTAAGTGCAGATTATCCTTAAAGGACCATGCTGGGGGTGGGGTTGTGGCTCAGTGACTCCGTACCATGCACAAGACCCTGGGTTCAATCCCCAGCACTGCAAAAAAAAGCCAATGTAAAAGCTCTTGTCACTCATTCTAATGAACATCTCATGGACGAAATAAAAGCCTGAAGAGGCACAGCATGAACTCGGCCCGCCCAGCTTCAGAGGCGGGCACTCTGCAACGGCTGTGCTGTTGGCTAGTGTGGCAAGGCTCAGCTACTTGCCACAATTTTCATGATGCTTACAGAAGCACTGACAAAAGATGGATCTGGCTGTGTCAAAACCTGGATTAGAAACCAACTTCCTCTGAACCAACTACCCACGGTAAGAGGGAGAAGGATTACAAACTGGAATACATTATGTTTCTGAAAATATGTGGCTGATACTAAATGGTGCTGAAACAGCCCAGAAACATAAAATCAATATTGTATAAATTCTGCCAAAACCATAAATCAGACAATTTTCCAACTGAGAGCACACATCCCTAAGAATACTAGCAGGTCAGATTCTCTCATACTAACAGACTCTTCTTGCTCCTAACGTTCTGAGCATTGCGTGGTTACTCTTATTTACGCAAAATGCTCCAGTACCAGCAGTTCTCCCCACCACAGACTTCTATATCCACGTCTCACCTGTCTATACTTCTTTCCCCTAGTCTTCCCCAAGCCAATCCTGGTGACGAGTTGGTGGAAGCAGCTGTGAGGCAGCCAGAGTCAGAAACTTTGCCATGCCATGTTAGCCCCAGGCTCCCTATCACACCACACCCTTTTTTACCCTGGCTAGGGCTTAAAGGCTTTCTGGGGACCTAGATCATCAGTGGTACAGATGGCTGCTGTGTTAGTTCAATACTGTTCCACAATGTTCACAGGTTAAAGTCAGTTGATTATACTGAATGGAACTCCAAAGGCTTTTACTTGGTTTTTCAAAAAAAGAAAAACTGGAGGTTTAAAGACAAAGTCAGCTGTTAATTACAGTAGCCAGCTGTTTACTTACATAGTACACACTGACAACTCTAAATTATACCTAAGTCATTTCTACTTGGCTTTAGGAAGAGAACAAGGTTTCTTTTTCAGGTGTTATATATGTATGGTTAGGCCAAATAACAATTTTCTTTCCCTGAGCCTACCCTGGGGTACATTGAGAAAGAAAAGCCGGTCAGTTCAGCCTCAAATCCTCGCCTCAGGAAATCTAAGATCTGAACTGGTTCCAATCTTTTTGATAATTATATATAGAAATAACCACAGCACTTAGAATTCCAGGAAGATACATGTCACACTATGAACTCAGATCTCTTTAGATCCTGACTGCTCTGGACAAAAGGGAAAATGGAATGGACCACAGACAGTGCTCAACAGTCACACAGCACCCCTGCGGACACATGAGACTTAAAACACAGCTTCACCAGGACGGAAGGTTCAACAGCAACATTTCATATTGGAATGTTGATGGGTATGGGTGGTTATGAAATCCTGAAAACCAGGTGTGGTGGTTTGAATGAGAATGTCCCTCATAGGCTCCAAGTATTTGGACATTTGGGAGGCTTTAGGACATATGGCCTTGCTGGAGGAAGCAGGTCACTGGAGGTGGGCTTTAAGAGCTCTTAAGCCTTGCTGGATTTCCAGTCTCTGTTTCCTGTGTGTGCTTGAAGATGTGAGCGCTCCGCTTTCTTCCCTGGCCACCACTTACCACTATGCCTCCCCACCATAACGGCCTCTTGTCCCTCTGGAACCGTAAGCCAAATAAACTCTTCCTCCTATAAGTTGCTTTGGCCAATGTTTTATCACAGCAACAGAAAAATAACAAATACACTGGCCAAGAGATAAAGTTCGTGTTAGTCCGCAAATGGCCTGTAGTTTGTAATTTCAAACCAATGTCATACTCTCAACACAAAGTTGAAATTCATTTATTTCTAGGAAAATTATGCAGCAAGGTCAATAAGTTAAAATACATATATTTAAATCTTCTATACCCAGAGATTTGGTTTTGGTCTTCACCACACGAAAGCAGCCCTCTCCCGTAACATGCGGACGCCAAAACGCTGCCATTCTCGCTGATAAATCCACAGCTCCTGTGTGGTATCCAAACACGCCAACACGGCCCCGCCTTTCCATGCGATCAGCCGGGGATCCATGTCCTAAACAAAGATAAATCTATTTAAGTGAAGACAGGCAAGACTTCATCCTTTTCTTCACCTGGGGATGGGCCCCTGCAGAGACAACAGCTGACAAGCCAGTTTTATACATCTGCACTAAACACAACAAAAGACTGGCTGTGGGGTCTACCTCGACAGCAGATTACCTGCCTAACACAGGCAAGGCCCTGGTTTCAATTCTCAGCACTACCATCACCAGAACAAAGAGCAGAGTTCATAAGCACACACTTGTGAACCTTCAACACTGAAGGTGCCATCTTCTCAAATGGGCCCTCGAGGCAGGCACAAAGTACAACTCCAGTAAGTATACCTCCAAGCTCCTGTCCTTCAAAGAAAATGAAACAAAACTCCCAGAAATTGCAGTGAGATTTCATGAAACACAGATACAATTTATTTCTAAATTCCTGGGTTTGTTTCTTTTCAGGACAAAAAGATCCCTGAAGATCTCTGGACCAGGAACCAGAAGCCCCTGCTATGACCAGAGAACAGAAAATAAGGGTTCTGCCTATCAAGGTGAGAGAACCAATCATCTTTTTTTTTTTTTCTTTTTTTCTTTTTGAGACAGGGTCTCCCTGTAGCCCCAGCTGGCCTGGACTTGCTATAGAGACCAGGCTGGCCTTGAACTCACAGAGATCCAGTGCCTCTGCCTCTGGAACGCTGGGATTAAAGGTGTGTGCCACCATGCCCAGCCCCAATCATCTCTTGAGCCACCTGGTATTTTCACAAGGTGAAAGTCAAGTACAGGAGGGACCAGAAAAAGAAATCCAGTTTCAAAACTGGGCATGGTGAGGCACACCTGTAACCCTAGAAATGTGGGAGGTAGATGCAGGACCATTAGGAGTTCAAGGCCAGCCTTAACTACATAGTGAGTTTGCAAGCCAGCCTGGGCCATGAGATCCTGTGTCAAAAAACCAAACCAGGGGCTGGAGAGATAGCTAGCTCAGTGGTTAAGAGCAGTGTTCTTGTGGAGAATCCCAGTTCAGTTCCCATCACCCTTGTGAGGTGTCTCACAACTGCCTTTAACTCCAGCTCGGGGGGATCTGATGCCTTTGGCCTCCAAGGGCACTGTGGTCATTTGTACATAAACACACATATACACATAAACACATAATTAAAATATTTTTTAAATACAGGCTGGAGAGATGGCTCAGCAGTCAAGGGCACTGGCTGGTCTTGCAGAGAACCTGGGTTTGATTCACAGCACCTACATGGTAGCTAACAGTCTATAACTCCAGTTCCAGGAGATCCAATGTCCTCTTCTGGCCTCCATGGGTATTGCATGCACATGGTACACTTATAAATGCAGGCAAAACATTCATATGTATAAAATAAAAATAAACCAAAACAATTAAAAAAAAAACAGGCTGGAGAAGTGGCCCAGAGGCTAAGAGCATATATTGCTCTTGAAAAGGACCTCAGTTCAGTTCCCAGGACCTACATGGTGGCTCACAACCACTTAAAACTCCAGCTCCAGGGGAATCTGACACCTCTAGCTTCTAAAGGAACCTACACTCATGTGCACATACCCACATACCACCCCCCTCACACACAATTACAATAAATCTTGTTTTAAAACCATTATTTTTATTCTATGTGTATGAGTGTATTGCCTGCCTGTA